AGTAGATGTGTATGTGAGTGGATGTGTATGTGAGTGGATGTGTATGTGAATGGATGTGTATGTGAGTGGATGTGTATGTGAGTGGATGTGTGTGTGAGTGGATGCGTATGTGAGTGGATGTGTATGTGAGTGGATGTGTATGTGAGTGGATGTGTATGTGAGTGGATGTGTATGTGAGTGGATGTGTATGTGAGTGGATGTGTATGTGAGTGGATGTGTATGTGAGTGGATGTGTATGTGAGTGGATGTGTATATGAGTGGATGTGTATGTGAGTGGATGTGTATGTGAGTGGATGTGTATGTGAGTGGATGTGTATATGAGTGCATGTGTATGTGAGTGGATGTGTATGTGAGTAGATGTGTATGTGAGTGGATGTGTTTGTGAGTGGATGTGTATGTGAGTAGATGTGTATGTGAGTGGATGTGTATGTGAGTGGATGTGTATGTGAGTGGATGTGTATGTGAGTGGATGTGTATGTGAGTGGATGTGTATGTGAGTGGATGTGTATGTGAGTAGATGTGTGTGTGAGTGGATCTGTATGTGAGTAGATGTGTATGAGTGGATGTGTATGTGAGTGGATGTGTATGTGAGTGGATGTGTATGTGAGTAGATGTGTATGTGAGTGGATGTGTATGTGAGTGGATGTGTATGTGAGTGGATGTGTATGTGAGTAGATGTGTATGTGAGTGGATGTGTATGTGAGTGGATGTATATGTGAGTGGATGTGTATGTGAGTGGATGTGTATGTGAGTGGATGTGTATGTGAGTGGATGTGTTTGTGAGTGGATGTGTATGTGAGTGGATGTGTATGTGAGTGGATGTGTATGTGAGTGGATGTGTATGTGAGTGGATGTATATGTGAGTGGATGTGTATGTGAGTCGATGTGTGTGTGAGTGGATGTGTATGTGAGTCGATGTGTATGTGAGTGGATGTGTGTGTGAGTGGATGTGTATGTGAGTGGATGTGTATGTGAGTGGATGTGTATGTGAGTGGATGTGTATGTGAGTAGATGTGTATGTGAGTGGATGTGTGTGTGAGTGGATGTGTATGTGAGTGGATGTGTATGTGAGTGGATGTGTATGTGAGTGGATGTGTATGTGAGTGGATGTGTATGTGAGTGGATGTGTATGTGAGTGGATGTGTATGTGAGTAGATGTGTGTGTGAGTGGATCTGTATGTGAGTAGATGTGTATGTGAGTGGATTTGTGTGTGAGTGGATGTGTATGTGAGTGGATGTGTATGTGAGTGGATGTGTATGTGAGTGGATGTGTATGTGAGTGGATGTGTATGTGAGTGTGAGTAGATGTGTATGTGAGTGGATGTGTATGTGAGTGGATGTGTATGTGAGTGGATGTGTTTGTGAGTGGATGTGTATGTGAGTGGATGTGTATATGAGAGGATGTGTATGTGAGTGGATGTGTATGTGAGTGGATGTGTATGTGAGTGGATGTGTATGTGAGTAGATGTGTATGTGAGTGGATGTGTATGTGAGTGGATGTGTATGTGAGTGGATGTGTATGTGAGTGGATGTGTATGTGAGTGGATGTGTGTGTGAGTGGATGCGTATGTGAGTGGATGTGTATGTGAGTGGATGTGTATGTGAGTGGATGTGTATGTGAGTGGATGTGTATGTGAGTGGATGTGTATGTGAGTGGATGTGTATGTGAGTGGATGTGTATGTGAGTGGATGTGTATGTGAGTGGATGTGTATATGAGTGGATGTGTATGTGAGTGGATGTGTATGTGAGTGGATGTGTATGTGAGTGGATGTGTATATGAGTGCATGTGTATGTGAGTGGATATGTATGTGAGTAGATGTGTATGTGAGTGGATGTGTTTGTGAGTGGATGTGTATGTGAGTGGATGTGTATGTGAGTGGATGTGTATGTGAGTGGATGTGTATGTGAGTGGATGTGTATGTGAGTAGTTGTGTATGTGAGTGGATGTGTATGTGAGTAGATGTGTATGTGAGTAGATGTGTGTGTGAGTGGATCTGTATGTGAGTAGATGTGTATGTGAGTGGATGTGTATGTGAGTGGATGTGTATGTGAGTGGATGTGTATGTGAGTAGATGTGTATGTGAGTGGATGTGTATGTGAGTAGATGTGTATGTGAGTAGATGTGTGTGTGAGTGGATCTGTATGTGAGTAGATGTGTATGTGAGTAGATTTGTATGTGAGTGGATGTGTATGTGAGTGGATGTGTATGTGAGTGGATGTGTATGTGAGTGGATGTGTATGTGAGTGGATGTGTATGTGAGTGGATGTGTATGTGAGTGGATGTGTATGTGAGTGGATGTGTATGTGAGTGGATGTGTATGTGAGTAGATGTGTGTGTGAGTGGATCTGTATGTGAGTAGATGTGTATGAGTGGATGTGTATGTGAGTGGATGTGTATGTGAGTGGATGTGTATGTGAGTAGATGTGTATGTGACTGGATGTGTATGTGAGTGGATGTGTATGTGAGTGGATGTGTATGTGAGTAGATGTGTATGTGAGTGGATGTGTATGTGAGTGGATGTATATGTGAGTGGATGTGTATGTGAGTGGATGTGTATGTGAGTGGATGTGTATGTGAGTGGATGTGTTTGTGAGTGGATGTGTATGTGAGTGGATGTGTATGTGAGTGGATGTGTATGTGAGTGGATGTGTATGTGAGTGGATGTGTATGTGAGTGGATGTGTATGTGAGTCGATGTGTGTGTGAGTGGATGTGTATGTGAGTCGATGTGTATGTGAGTGGATGTGTGTGTGAGTGGATGTGTATGTGAGTGGATGTGTATGTGAGTGGATGTGTATGTGAGTGGATGTGTATGTGAGTAGATGTGTATGTGAGTGGATGTGTGTGTGAGTGGATGTGTATGTGAGTGGATGTGTATGTGAGTGGATGTGTATGTAAGTGGATGTGTATGTGAGTGGATGTGTATGTGAGTGGATGTGTATGTGAGTGGATGTGTATGTGAGTAGATGTGTGTGTGAGTGGATCTGTATGTGAGTAGATGTGTATGTGAGTGGATGTGTGTGTGAGTGGATGTGTATGTGAGTGGATGTGTATGTGAGTGGATGTGTATGTGAGTGGATGTGTATGTGAGTGGATGTGTATGTGAGTGTGAGTAGATGTGTATGTGAGTGGATGTGTATGTGAGTGGATGTGTATGTGAGTGGATGTGTTTGTGAGTGGATGTGTATGTGAGTGGATGTGTATGTGAGAGGATGTGTATGTGAGTGGATGTGTATGTGATTGGATGTGTATGTGAGTGGATGTGTATGTGAGTAGATGTGTATGTGAGTGGATGTGTATGTGAGTGGATGTGTATGTGAGTGGATGTGTATGTGAGTGGATGTGTATGTGAGTGGATGTGTGTGTGAGTGGATGTGTATGTGAGTGGATGTGTATGTGAGTGGATGTGTATGTGAGTGGATGTGTATGTGAGTGGATGTGTATGTGAGTGGATGTGTATGTGAGTGGATGTGTATGTGAGTGGATGTCTATGTGAGTGGATGTGTATATGAGTGGATGTGTATGTGAGTAGATGTGTATGTGAGTGGATGTGTATGTGAGTGGATGTGTATGTGAGTAGATGTGTATGTGAGTGGATGTGTATGTGAGTGGATGTGTATGTGAGTGGATGTGTATGTGAGTAGATGTGTATGTGAGTGGATGTGTATGTGAGTGGATGTATATGTGAGTGGATGTGTATGTGAGTGGATGTGTATGTGAGTGGATGTGTATGTGAGTGGATGTGTATATGAGTGGATGTGTATGTGAGTGGATGTGTATGTGAGTGGATGTGTATGTGAGTGGATGTGTATGTGAGTGGATGTGTATGTGAGTCGATGTGTGTGTGAGTGGATCTGTATGTGAGTCGATGTGTATGTGAGTGGATGTGTGTGTGAGTGGATGTGTATGTGAGTGGATGTGTATGTGAGTGGATGTGTATGTGAGTGGATGTGTATGTGAGTAGATGTGTATGTGAGTGGATGTGTGTGTGAGTGGATGTGTATGTGAGTGGATGTGTATGTGAGTGGATATGTATGTGAGTGGATATGTATGTGAGTGGATGTGTATGTGAGTGGATGTGTATGTGAGTGGATGTGTGTGTGAGTGGATCTGTATGTGAGTGGATCTGTATGTGAGTAGATGTGTATGTGAGTGGATGTGTGTGTGAGTGGATGTGTATGTGAGTGGATGTGTATGTGAGTGGATGTGTATGTGAGTGGATGTGTATGTGAGTGGATGTGTATGTGAGTGTGAGTAGATGTGTATGTGAGTGGATGTGTATGTGAGTGGATGTGTATGTGAGTGGATGTGTTTGTGAGTGGATGTGTATGTGAGTGGATGTGTATGTGAGTGGATGTGTATGTGAGTGGATGTGTATGTGAGAGGATGTGTATGTGAGTGGATGTGTATGTGAGTGGATGTGTATGTGAGTGGATGTGTATGTGAGTAGATGTGTATGTGAGTGGATGTGTATGTGAGTGGATGTGTATGTGAGTGGATGTGTGTGTGAGTGGATGTGTATGTGAGTGGATGTGTATGTGAGTGGATGTGTATGTGAGTGGATGTGTATGTGAGTGGATGTGTATGTGAGTGGATGTGTATGTGAGTGGATGTGTATGTGAGTGGATGTGTATGTGAGTGGATGTGTATGTGAGTGGATGTGTATGTGAGTGGATGTGTATGTGAGTGGATGTGTATGTGAGTGGATGTGTATGTGAGTGGATGTGTATGTGAGTGGATGTGTATATGAGTGGATGTGTATGTGAGTGGATGTGTATGTGAGTAGATGTGTATGTGAGTTGATGTGTTTGTGAGTGGATGTGTATGTGAGTGGATGTGTATGTGAGTGGATGTGTATGTGAGTGGATGTGTATGTGAATGGATGTGTGTTTGGGAAACTGAGCAGTACAGCAACACTTGGCCTGACCCGGCTGGCCTAGTGGAATGGTCCTGCGATACACGGCCAAATGGACGATACATGGAGGGGCGAATTGGAGGCTCACAGCGAAGGAGGGGATGTAGTAGAGAGAGGGAATGAAGTAGGCATCGGTGCTGGTGTACCAGAAGGTTGCCGCACCCATGACGTCCCACAGATGGTCGCAAAACTCTGATCGCACCCTGCAGAGTGGGGTGGGGCATGGCAGGGGGCATGGCAGGAGGATGGCAGGGGGATGGCAGGAGGATGGCAGGGGGCATGGCAAGGGGCATGGCAGGAGGCATGGCAGGGGGCATGGCAGGGGGCATGGCAGGAGGATGGCAGGGGGCATGGCAGGGGGCATGGCAGGAGGATGGCAGGGGGCATGGCAGGGGGCATGGCAGGAGGCATGGCAGGGGGCATGGCAGGGGGCATGGCAGGAGGATGGCAGGGGGCATGGCAGGGGGCATGGCAGGGGGCATGGCAGGGGGCATGACAGGGGGCATGGCAGGGGGCATGGCAGGGGGCATGGCAGGGGGCATGGCAGGGGCATGGCAGGGGGCATGGCAGGGGGCATGGCAGGGGGCATGGCAGGGGGCATGGCAGGGGGCATGGCAGGGGGCATGGCAGGGGGCATGGCAGGGGGCATGGCAGGGGGCATGGCAGGGCTTGATATGACGTCCCACAGCTGGACACACAACTCCAAGCGCACGGTCGCAGGGTCGCAGAACTCTTCAAGCGCACGGTCGCAGAACTCTGAGCCTGATATGCACCCTGCATGCATGCACGCATGCACGAGTGGGGCATGGCAGGGATGTGATGTGGCAGCCTATATCGTTGCAGAACTCGGATCACACCCTGCACCATGCTATGTGGCATTGGGGTTGGCAGGGGGGTTGGCAAAGGGATGCCAGGGATGGAAGGAATTGACATGGTCGCTGAAGTCTGCCCCCACCATGACCCTCACGCGATGCGCACTGATGCGCACTGATGCGCACTGCACGCCATGGAGCGATGTACACTTGATGATGTTGCAAGCAGGTCCAGACAAACAGCCACCCACCTGTGGTTCACGTCCAAACAAATAGCCACCCACCTGTGGTTCATGTCCAGCAGCCACCCACCTGTGGTTCACGTCCAGATAAACAGCCACCCACCTGTGGTTCACGTCCAGACAAACAGCCACCCACCTGTGGTACAAGTCCAGGAGAACCGTGCCAACCTCTTGCACGGTGCCCCGCAGCTCCTCCAGCACTCCATGGCGCAGCGTGTTCATCTCCCTGGCCAGTGCACTCATGCGCAGCTTGGGCCGACGCAGCACTGTTGACAACAGCTTTCCGAACCAGCGTTTTGAGGGGTAGGAAGGGGAGGGGGAGGAAGGTGGGCTTTGGAAGGGGGAGCACGGGATGAAAGCCAGGAAGGTGCGATGTGGGACTGTGAATGTGTGTGCAATGGATGTCCTGTCAGAAAGACCGCCTTCAGCTATGGATGGCTGAAATCGCACAGTGGGCCACTAAGCAGCACACAAGGTTCCCTTCGCATGTCCACACTGCGAACTGCTGCTCTGTGAGCCGCTGCAATGCAATGCGATGCGGTGCTATGTGATGCGGTGCTATGCGATGTCGTGCGGTGATATGCAGTGGGGTATTATGCTGCAAGGTGCTATCCAATGCGCTGCTATGCGGCGCGGTACTATGCGATGCGGTGCAGTGCATGTGCTGCCATGCGGTGCGGTGCTCTGCGATGCAGTGCGGTGATATGCGGCGGGGTGTTATGCGGGGGGGTGCTATCTGATGCGCTGCTATACGATGCACTGCCATCCGGTGCGGTGCTATCCGGTGCGACCACTGATGGGTCACTGACTCACTGCTGTGCGACCAGTGTGCTGTGCGCCTTGCACTGCACTGGACGGGTGGGCTTACCGCTGTGTGAAGGGTTCAACGGTCCAGGAAGTGTTGGCGTGGGCAAAGGGGTTGCAGAAGCGGCGAGTGAGGAAGGCACGTGGTGGTGCGATGATGGCTCGATGGGTGAGAAGACCCAAGATGAACGAGACAACGTATGCTGTGATCTTGTTTCCCACGCCTGCAGAGACGACCCAACATGAATGAGACGACGTACAATGTAATCCTGTTGCCCAGACCTACATGCACATAAGAAGATCAAGTCAGATCAGATCAGATTACATCAGTTCAGGTCACAATGGAGATGAGGCCATGCAAGTGAGTAAAGGATGAGAAATGGAGGCGCTATTTAGCAGCGAGGTTGAGGAGTGGGGAGGTGTTATTTGACAGCGAGGTTGAGAGGAGAAGGGAGGTATTACCTGACAGCAAGGTGGAATTCGTTCATTAAAACATAGATCCCAGGCCATGCACGTACTCACTAACAGCATACCCCTATCCAGGTCACGAATTGAAATGTAGCGACACTGCTTCCTGTCATGGCCGTAACGAGGAACGGTCTCGTTCCTGGTGGTTCACAGATGACGGATGTGAATTTGGGGAAGACAAGAAGGAGAAACGGGAAAAGGGTAAAGAAAGGTGGCATCATGTATGATATACTGCATCGATAGTTGTCTTTCTTAATAGGCACGATGCGGGTACTGTGAGTGTCGAGTGCTTAGGAGTTTGAAGTGAATGAAAGCATACACATGCAGACTGACAGGGATGTTGATGATGCCCTTATCACATCACATGCCTTTATCACACCACGTTCCTTCCCTCATCACACCACGTGCCCTCAACATACCACGTGGCCTTGTCTCTGACCCATTGCCAGCTGTCCACCTCTCGAAACCCCACACAATCCCTCTGCATCGCTTCAAAACCTTCCACTGCAGCTCTGAACGCTGCTGAAGGAAGGGACGGATTGGCCTGGATGGGATTGGATCAGGGTGGATAACCTGTTCAAATTTGTTGTTGGACGGATCCGTTCGAACTGCGTTCAAGTTCTGATAAGCTCTAGGTTTCTCAAGTCAGTACCCCCGCAGCAGCCGCACCAGCGGCATGCTGCAAATGTTTCTCCCACATGCCATGTGCTACACATGTCTACCTCCCCCATCTCCCCCCCCCCCTGTTACAGAAGTCCCATCCCACCCCCATAACATGTTTGCTACAGGTACAACATTTTCACACATTACACACTGTACCATGTGCTACAGATGGCCCCCCACTCCCCCCTCCCCCCTCTTTTTTTTTTCCCTTCTTTATACTATGTGCTACAAATGCTACCCTCCAACCCTCTCACCTACAGCCTCCCACAGATATCGTGTGCCACAGATACCCTCTCACGCCATACCGTGTGGTACAGGTGTCGCTCCTGCTGACTCCAGCACGAGTCAGCTGTGTGGCGCTGCATCTGGTGCCATGCCGCAGATGCATCGAACCTGGACAGCGGATTAGGCAACTCAAACCCCCGCCCACCATCGCCGCCATTGCTCGTCAAGCCCCTCCCATTGTCGCCATTCTGACTGCGACGGTCGCCAGTATAACCGATGGCGCTATAGCGAGCACCAGTGAGCAGCTGGGAGTGAAAACACAAGGGAGGGGAGGTGGGGGGAGTGGGGGAGAAGAGGTGGAAGACAAAAAGTGTTGCGAAAAGGCCAAGTTTAAGGCGTGTGGGGACTGCGACTGCTGCCGGGAATACTATTCCTAGAAGGCTTGGGGGGGAGAGTCGTGCTCAGCAGTGCTGCGTTCAACGCAAGTTGTTCCATCCAGATCCGCTATTCAATGTGCAGTGGCGTGAAAGTGCACTGGCGACCTACGAATGAGAAGGAGGAAACAATCGCTGTACTACCTGCTGTCGCCCGGGCTGGACAGCCGAATTCGAGGCGAGAACGAGCAGAGCAAGCACAGCCGCCTTAGTGGGGTGGAACCTTTTAATATGACTTGACATCAGCAATAAATTGATAGTATCCAAGAATACGCAAACGAACTACTAAACGTCATTATTGTTACGAGTAGTAATTATTGAAGCATCACTGTGCACTCCTTACCGCAGCAACCGAAGCACGCACTACCGAGGATGAAGACGAAAAGACATAAATGACGCGAAGGGTCGTACAGTTACGGAAGGATCTGGATCGTCGGGCAGACGGCATCAGGCAGCAGCAGTGGCGAGGATTCTGCCCGAACGGTTTCGTAACCACCTAGAGTCGCACGGATAAATTTCGCTGTAATAAGGGAATGTACCCCTTAAAGTACATGGCTAGCTAGGTTTTTTCGTGTTCCCCTATACTCTTATTTATATCATTTGTATTTGCATGTTTTAAACCATCGCAAGCATTTTACATTCAGTCTGCTATTGAGCTCAAGGGCCCACCACCACTATGTCAAAACAATAGCTAGAAAGTTAAAACAGAAGAAGAGGGTTGCAATAATAAGCAGGGCAGTACATATAGCAAATCCTAATCGGGCTGTACTAACTATAGAGTACCCCGCTGCAGACTAGACAAATAACACATTCTGACACACCCCCATAGTCAAAGCGGGGTATAGTCAGCACAGCAAGGAGTCACATAATGTGTTCACAAGTACAAGCAAAGCTAGAGGCAGTCACAGAGGGCAAGTGAGGAGGAGTAGAGACATAAGAACTTCGAATCGACGACCGAAAGCGGATTTGTCAAACTATTATAATGTTTAGGTTGTGTAGGCTGTAGTGGGGTCGCCCATAAGGGGTACAACCCAATTAGGGTTAGTACTTCTACCCACTTTGACCTTAGTTCATGCATTCCCGTTCAGTTTCTTGACATGGTATCAGAGCATAACCTGTTCCTTTTGGGTTTTTTAGGGCCCACCGATTTGTTAGCTGCCCGTAGCGCCTTACCCCACCAATCGTGCTGCCCTGACCTGCCCTGACCGTCGCGCTGCCCTGCGCGCCGCCCTGCCCTGCCCGCGCGCCGCCCTTTTCAACCCGCGCGCCGCCTTTTTCAGCTTGAGCGTCGCCCTGCTGGCCGCGCGCCGCCCTTTCCTGCCCGCGCTCTGCCCTTTCCTGCCCGTGCGCCACCCTGCTGGCCGCGTACTGCTCTGCCTTGCCCGTCGCACCGCCTTGCTCGCGCCGCGCCGCCCTGCCCTGCTCGTCGCGCGGCCCTACTGGTCGCGCGTTGCCCTCCCCTATCCGTCGCGCTGCTCTGCTAGCGCCGCGCAGCCCTGCCCTGCCCGCGCGCTGCCCTGCTGGTCGCTGCCCTGCCCGCGCGTCGCCCTGCTAGCCGCCGCACCGCCCTGCCCTGCTGGTCGCCGCCCTGCCCTGCCCTGCCCGTGCGCCGCCCTGCTGGCCGCCGCCCTGCCCTGCCCTGCCCGCGTGCCGCCCTGCTGGCCGCCGCCCTGCCCTGCCCTGCCCGCGTGCTGCCCTGCTGGCCGCTGCCCTGCCCTGCCAGTTGCGCCGCCCTGCCCTAGCCGTGCACCACCCTGCCCTGCCATGCGCGCTTCCCTAGCGCTTACGTCGGGCATGGGGCTCGTGCTTGGAGGACGGGGTCCAGTTGTCCTCACTGGACACGCAGATGCTTCTTGGGTTGACGACTTGGCTACGCAGCGGTCGTCACAGGGTTACACTTTCAGCCTTGGCTCCGGCTCTGTTTCTTTGCGTGCTACCCGCTTGTCTTCTGTTCTCAGCTCCAGTTGTGAGGCTGAGATCTACGCAGGGGCCATGGCAGCACAGGAGTTACGCTGGCTCACCTACCTGCTGACCGACTTGGGAGAGCCGCCTCATTCTCCTCCAAATCTGTACGTCGACAACAAGGTCATGATTGCCTTGTGCCAGGAGGACAGACTTGAGCACAGGACGAAGCACATCGCTCTGCGTTACTTCCTTGCTCGAGACTTGCTGCAGCGTGGTCAGCTTCGTCTTGCTTACGTGGCCTCTCGAGCTAACACTGCTGATATCTTCACCAAGGCACTTCAGCGTTGTGATCATCAGCGTTTCTGCACTGTTCTAGGCCTTGTACCTACTTGGTCTGCCTTGATCACTTCTTGACTTTGCTTGTACTATGATCTATATACATATACCTGCATGCTTGCACTTGCTAGGTTGTGATCACTATACTGCTTGTTCTCCATTATATATCTCTGCATGTGAACTGGCCTTGTGGCCATTTGCTTGTGCTCAATGTGTGTGGTGACTTCGTTATCCACCCTGAGCTTGCTTTGCTTTTCTTGACTGGTCTTGTGACCTCTTGTTCTCCCCCACTTTGCCTATGGCGGTGTGTCAAACTATCATGTTGTGTAGGCTATAGTGGGGTAGCCCATATGGGGTACAACCCAATTAGGGTTTACTACTTGTACTCCTGCATGCTGTTAGTTTGAT